GCTGTTCCCGTTGTGGCCTCCTCTACATCGGGGAAACCAAGCGGAGTCTTGGCGACCGCTTTGCAGAACACCTACGCTCGGTTCGCACTAAACAACTGCACCTCCCAGTCGCGAACCATTTCAACTCCCCCTCCCATTCCTCAGACGACATGTCCATCCTGGGCCTCCTGCAGTGCCACAACGATGCTACCCGAAGGTTGCAGGAACAGCAACTCATATTCCGCTTGGGAACCCTGCAGCCCAATGGTATCAATGCGGACTTCACAAGCTTCAAAATCTCCCCTCCCCCTACCGCAACCCAAAACCAGCCCAGCTCGTCCCCACCTCCCTAACCTGTCCTTCCTCCCACCTATCCCCTCCTCCCACCTCAAGCCCCACCCTCATCTCCTATCTACTAACCTCATCCCGCCCCCTTGACTGACCTATCTCCTCCCTAACCTCCCCACCTACACTCACCTTTACTGGCTCCATTCCCGCCTCTTTGACCTGTCTGTCTCCTCTCCACCTATCTTCTCCTCGCCACCCCCTCTCTCCCTATTTATTTCAGAACCCCCTTCCCCTCCCCCATTTCTAAAGAAGGGTCTAGGCCCGAAACGTCAGCCTTCCTGCTCCTCTGATGCTGCTTGGCCTGCTGTGTTCATCCAGCTCTACACCTTGTTATCGAAGGTTTAAAAGCCGATCACTGAGCATTCATTGCCAAACTCCACGGTGCATGTATTGAGAAGCAATTACATTTGCTATATTTGCTCCAATGAAATGCAAATATAAAAGACATTTCCAAGATATATAAATTCACAAAGATTTTCACAGATGATCTAGTGTTGCAACCAGCCTCTTAGAAGGAATTGTGTTATCACAAAGGTTAACAGAATGTTAGCTTTCATCACAAGGAGACTGGAGTTCAAAGGGAAGCAAGTTGTTTGCACAGATACCTCATCTACAGTATCTCCCCCAAGTACAGAAGACTGAACAATGATGTAATCCAGGTATTTAAAACCTTAAAATGATTTGATTAAAAAAAAATTATTTCCCCTGGCTTGGCAATCAAGAATAAACAGACTGAATCTTAAAATTAAAGCAGAACTGTTTAGAAGCAAAATCAGGAAGTACTTCCTCCACCACAAAAAAGTAACAGAAATCTGAAACACACTATCTTTCCTAAAAATGTTTAAACATTATGGCAATTGGACTTTCCAAAATTGAGAAAGAGGCTTTTGTTAGGTAAGGGCATTAAGTTAGATGAAGCAAAGGCAGGCAAATTAAACAGGAGGTACAGATCAGCCACGACCTCAGTGAGTAGTGGAGCTGAATTATGTCGTTGAATAATCTACCCAAATTTCTCTTACTTCCTGTTTCTAAACCTCAAAAATTCACTCATTTATCACTCGACCATATTTTCACCCCTTTTTGTAAGTAGTTAGGTTTCAAAATAGACTATTAGTTCCCAGAAGGACAATCTTATTTGGGTGTAGGGGTCTCTCCTGCTGACTTAGGAGTCAGAGAGAGATCCAAGGTTGCTCTTTTTCAGGAAGGTCTGCTCTATCATGATTCAATGAGGCACTGACAAGGCCAGTAGCAGGCCTGTCTTAAGGATCAAAATCCCCGATGGTGGTATTCCCAGCTAGCGAGAGCCGCTGGTCAATCACAGATCAGCAGCTCCAGAAGGAGGCCCAACCGCCAAACCCACCCATGACACCAGGAGTCCCGTGATCACGGAGTAACTCAAATCACAGATAAATTATATGGGGTGGGGGTAGTGAAAAGGTTGCGGAGGGCAGAATATGTGGCATGGATAGCTCAGTTGAATTCTCCATCTTTTGCAATATCCAGTCCTTCAAGTGAGCACCTACTGCCTTTGATCTACCCTTTCTCCCACCCACCTTAACTGGCCACTTAAGGCCCTCAACTGGCAGTGGGGCAAGAAAATCTTAGTCACAGAATCATTGTGCCCTGTGAAAGCTCAACTACCTTATGATAAATTTTGCTCACCAGAGTAAGTTTCAATGCTTGTTTAATCTGAAAGAGAAAAAAAAAAGTAAAGATTTGCAAACCAAATGGAGTAGGTAAACACAAATCATCAAAAGTAAGTCATACAAGTAATTATGGAATGAAAACTTACAATTATGGATACATCTTACAGCCTCACTTACCTTTTCATTTTTCACTGTTTCTTTCAGATTTGGGAGGCTGCCCTGAAGTAGCATTTGTGCATTTTCTATTTCCTTCTGTTGAGGAATATACAAAAAGCATTTAAAACAAAAAGACAGCTCTGACACTGTGATTTGAACCAACCATCTACATCTATCCCTGACAACTTTCGCTCATTAAACTCCACAGCGTTTAAGTTAATGTGGTATTCTCAAATCACTTTCATTCACCTTAACTTTTAGAACTTTTTTCATTAGGTGATGTGTCCACTGGCAAGACATCAGGCCCAAAGGTCTGCTCCAGTAAGTAGTTGGACATGGATTCACATCATGAGAGTCCAAAGAGGAAAGGGGATGTGCTTTGTCACATACATCACTGCATGACGACCTGGGCAAAGGTGTGTATTTCATCAAAGGCAGGAATAAATAGGACCAGGAAATGCCCAGGGTTAGTATCACATCTCTGGTAGTATGAGAACAGTAAAGGCAGCAGTTTGACTGCTCCTCCCTACTGCATAAGAACGGTTAAGTAATCTACCAATTAGACTGGACAACTAGAGGGAAGAGAACTCTGTTCCTTTTCCATCTCTTCATCCCCTCCCCTACATGTCAATATGTAAATATAATGTAGACAGCAAGAATGAAAGACAGATCCCTTCCCTCCATTGAAGGTCACAGATAAAATTATCAGCAAGTTAACATGGCTTGGCCAGATATGTTTGGGCATTTTTGTTTGTAAATGGCATGATATTGTAGCATGAGGAACAGTTCTAAAAGCGTTAATGCTCAAATTAAATCAGCAACACCAATTCTACTGATGTAACAGTCTTGTGTGTCTGACAGAAGAAACGTTTAGAGGAAACAGATGTGTCTATACCAGCATGCCAAGATCTTCATTATTACACCTGATCAAATGTAGTTGTAGTTATTGTTTTCATGCAATAAAGCTTCTAGTTATTGAAGAACTGTGCCTCTTCTGTAGGAATATTCTATTTGCACTGGTAGATCTTCGACTACTGATCACTGGATAGGCCCAAGAAAAAACAAAAACCACTGGGAAGCAAACTACCATAACTTGGCAAACACCATCAGCAGTCATCAGTAATCTCAGATAACAATTCAGAAATTTTCTGAAGAAGGGTCTTGACCTGAAACGTCAGCTTTCCTGCTCCTCGGACTGCTGTGTTCATCCAGCTCTACACCTTGTTATCTGAGATTCTCCAGCCTCGGCAGTTCCTACTACATCAGTAATCTCATATGATTTTCAATGAATTTCTCAACAATATCAGGGCATACTGTTCTCTCTTAAGTCTGCAAGGTAGCAATCCTGGGGCGAACAACAATTCATAGGTCTAATCATCTTCAAGCTGCTTCATAAATGGCCTCCCATCCACAGTAACGGCAGAAGTGGGGATGTGTGAAATCATCAGTGAAAGATTCAGCACCATTCAAGCCTCCTTGGATATTGAAGCAAGTGTGTATTCAAAAGTAACAAGGCCTAGACAATATCTACATCTGGCCTGAAAAGTGGCAAGTAACATTTGCACCACATAAGTGCCAGGCAATGACCACCTCTAAGAACAGAAAATCTAACGATCATCCAAGCCATTCATAGGTCTAATCATCTTCAAGCTGCTTCATAAATGGACTTCCATCCGCAGTAAGGGCAGAAGTGGAGTAGTACCAGATGACTGGAGGGTGGCAAATGTTATTCCCTTGTTCAAGAAAGGGAATAGGGATAATCCTGGGAATTACAGACCAGTCAGAGTTACTTCTGCGGTGGGAAAATTCTTGGAGAGGATTCTGAGGGATAGTATTTATGATTATTTGGAAAAGCACAGTTTGGTTAGAAATAGTCAGCATGGCTTTGTGAGGGGTGGGTCATGCCTCACAAGCCTTACTGAATTCTTTGAGGATGTGACAAAACACATTGATGAAGGTACAGCAGTGATGTGGTATATATGGATTTTAGCAAGACATTTGATAAGGTTCCCTATGGTAGGCTCATTCAGAAAGTAAGGAGGCATGGGATTCAGGGAAATTTGGCTGTCTGGATACAGAACTGGCTGTCCAACAGAAGACAGAGGGTGGTAGTAGATGGTAAGTATTCAGCCTGGAGCTCAGTAACCAGTGGTGTTCCGCACGAATCTGTTCTGGGACCTCTGCTCTTTGTGAACTTTATAAATGACTTGGATGAGCAAGTGGAAGGGTGGGTTAGTAAGTTTGCCGATGACACGAAGGTTGGTGGAGTTGTGGATAGTGTGGATGGCTGTTGTAGGTTGCAACGGGACATCGACAGGATGCAGATCTGGGCAACAAAGTGGCAGATAGAATTCAACCTGGACAAGTGTGAAGTGATTCATTTTGGAAGGTCGAATTTAAATGCAGAATACAGGGTTAATGGCAGCATTCTTGGCAGTGTGGAGGAACAGAGGATCGGGGGGTCCACGTCCATAGATCTCGCAAAGTTGCCACCCAAGTTGACAGTGTTGTAAAGAAGGCGTATGGTGTGTTGGCTTTCATTGGCAGGGGAATTGAGTTTAAGAGCCACGAGGTTATGCTGCAGCTCTATAAAACCCTGGTTAGATCACACTTGGAATATTGTGTTCAGTTCTGGTCGCATCATTATAGGCAGGATGTGGAAGCTCGAGAGGGTGCAGAGGAAATTTACCAGGATGCTGCCTGGACTGGAAGGCAGGTCTTATGAGGATAGGTTGAGGGAGCTAGGGCTTTTCTCATCGGAGCAAAGAAGGATGGGAGATGACTTGGTAGAGGTATACAAGATGATGAGAGGCATAGATAGAGTGGATAGCCAGAGACTTTTTCCCAGGGCGGAAATGACTGTCACAAGGGGGCATAATTTTAAGGTGATTGGAGGAAGGTATAGGGGAGATATCAGAGATAGGTTCTTTACACAGAGAATGGTGGGTGCGTGGAATGCGCTGCCAGTGGTGGTAGTGGAGTCAGATACATTAGGGACATTTAAGCGACTCTTAGATAGACACATGGATGATAGTAAAATGCAGGGTATGAAGAGTAGTTTGATCTTAAGAGTAGGATAATAGGTCGGCAAAACATCATGGGCCGAAGGGCCTGTACTGTGCTGTACTGTCATATGTTCTATTCAATAGCATTGACATCACTGAATCCCCCACTATCAATATCATGGGGTTACCACTGACGAGAAACTGAACTAGCCACACAAATATTGCGGCTATGAATGCAAATCAGAGGCTAGGAATCCTGCACTAAGTAACTCACCTTCTGACATCCATATCTGTTCACCCATCCAGGGGGCACAAATCAGGAGTGTGAGGGAATACTCCCACCTTGCCTGGGATGGGTACAGCTCCAATAACTCAAGAAGCTTGACAGCATCCAGGACAAAGCAGCCCGCTTGACTGCATCACATCCACAGACATTTGGTCCCTCCTCCATCTATGATCAGTTGCAGCAGTGTGCACTATTTACAAGATGTACTGCAGAAATTCACCACAGCTTCTTAGACAGCACCCTCCAAAGACATGACCACTTCCATCTAGAAGGATGAAGGCAGCAGATACATGGGAATACCACCATCTGTTGGTTCCCCTCCAAGCCACTCACTATCCTGACATGGAAATAGATCACTGTTCCTTCAGCGTCACTGTGTCAAAATCTTGGAACTCGCCCTCGAATGGCATTGTGGGTGTATCTACACTAAATGGGTTGCACTGGTTTGAGAAGACTGTTCACCAGCATTTTCTCAAGGACAACTAGAAATGGTAAACAAATGCTGGCCCATCTAGCAATACCTATATCCCATGAATGAATAAAAATATTCAATGAACACAGCTAAGCCATCTCATACTTTACAAATAAAATTATGTTGCAGTTCATAGGAAATATGGTCGTTCCTTGCATTCCTTTGCGCTGGGTAAATGGAATGAGTGCTTATAAAGCAGTTGAATTGAAACATTCCCACATTGTAAACCGAACAATTTGGGGTTTTGGCCCTCAGGTGGGAATACTCAAAGTGTACCTAATGCTGATGCAAAAGTGAGTGATCTGTCAATATTTTTGAGTTGCTGCTCAACCTAAAGTATCCACAACTGAATACCTGCCTTGTATTTAGCTTACAGGTATCCACAAGTAAAGTTTGTTTTAAAATACCTTTCCATAGATTGAGTGAAATTATGCTGAAATAGTGATGACAGAATTGGTCTTTAATTAACACTAATTCAGTATTGTTTTTAAACTTGCATTGTCATGACTTCTATTCTGCTGTTAAGTTGGATGCAATTAATGATATTGATCAAAGTGAATCAGATGCTACATTATTTTCTATCAACACGAATGTATGTTATACAGCTTGTAATGTATTAAACTGACATAAAAAGATAGGCTGACATTTAACAAGTTTGAATCTTGGCAGCAGAAGGCACAACCATAAAAAGGTGGAGTGAATAAAATCAGGGATGTTCACAAGATTAGAAATGAAGCAGTAGAGATATTGCAGAGGGTTCTGAGACTGGAAAGAGTAAAAAGATAGAAAGCACAAGGCCCAACGTTGATTTGACAATTGGAAACGGAATTTTAACATTACTAAATATTAGAATCTGAGGCTAGAAATATTGCGGTGAGTAACTCTCTCCCCGAAGTCTATTTAACATCTACAAGGCACAAATCCGGAGTGTGTTGGGATATTCCCCACTTGCCTGAATGGGTGCAGCTTCAAAAACACTCAAACAGGTGGACACCATCCAGGACAAAGGAGCCTGCTTAATTTGCACCACATCCACAAACGTCCACTGTCTCTATCACCAATGCTCAGTAGCCGCAGTGTTTACTATCTACAGAATGTACTGTAGAAATTCACTCAAGATCCTTATAGAGCACCCATGACCACTTCCAATTGGAAGGACACACACCATCCGGACTTGGAAATATATTGCCATTCCTTCACTGTCGCTGGGTCAAAATCCTGGAATTCCCTCCCAAATGGCATTGTGGGTCAACCTACATCACATGAAGTGCAGCAGTTCAAGATGGCAGTTCACCACCACCTTCTCAAAGGCTACCAGGGATGGGCAATAAATGATGACCAGCCAGTGATGCCCACGTCATCAGTGAATAAAAAGAAAAATTCAAACCCCTACAGTAAAAAAATACACATAATTAGTCACAACTACTTGTTTTTTAAATAAAACTCTGCTTACATTTGACGCTAATAATGTTGTTGGATCCAGGATATCCAGCCATTGAAGCAACCTATGAAAGAAGGGCTGTACAACACAACAAATTAAATTTAATAAATACATGAGCAAAACTAAACATATAAAACAATGACTGTAACCTACTGTCAGGTTAAACATAGACAAGGAAAACTGCTATTGATGACCAAATAACAGTCCCCACTGTTCTTTCAGTGTTATTGGGCCAAAATCCTGCAATGCCCTTCCTAACAGCATTTTGGACCACCGACACTAAATGAACTGTAGCAGTTCAAGAAGACGGCTCACCATCACATTCTCAAGGGCAACTAGTGATGGGCAACGAATGCTGACCCAGCCAATGAAACCCACATCCCATGAGATAAAATTTAAAACATTTAAAATTTATGAACTAAAAACATTTTTCCCCATGGAAGAATATTTTTGAGCACTGTGCTAAGCTAGTTTGTTGTCAACAATTGTCAGGAACACAGTCTTTCCACAATGATTAAAAGTTTATCCTTTTTTTTAAGCAACTCAGAAGTTAGTAAAGTTTTGTTACGTAGAAAGTTGTGAGTAATTAAGGCAGCATTCAACCAAATATCATACTGACCATGATCATAGTTTCCAGAAGCCCAGTCTTTGAAAAAACGGGGTTTAAAAATAACATTGAACAACGTGGATTGTTTTAAAGACATGATGCACTGTGTTTTGATGTTGGAATATCTGACCAAAGTCAAATGTTGTCCTCATGGTGCAAGCACACTTCGGCAGGGCATGCAATGGTTAGGATAATGATTTTGGTTGCACAGGCCAGTGATCTGGTAAGGAAAGAACAACTGCTGTTCCACTGGTCTGAGTATTCTGTTGCACAAAGACAACTTCATCCTCAGCAAATAAAAAGGTGGTGGTGGACCATTGCCTCTTTGTAGCAAACATATGTTGTAAAACTGGGCATCTCTGGTTATTAAATGTGGATGCCCTGGTTTGAAACAGCAAGCGGCTGAAGCATATTAGGCCAGACCAAGTAAAGACAGCAGATTTTCTTCCTTAAATTATATTTGTGAACCAGATGGGTGTTCAAGACAAGCGATGATAGTCATGAAACTATCACTGAGACTAGCTTTCAATTCCAGATACATTAATTGAATCTAAACTCTATTATCTGCCATGACAAGATTTGAATACATGTCCCAGAGCATTAGCCTGGTCCTCCAGATTACTGGTCCAGTGCTGACTACAGGAAGACCAGAGGGTTGGGCAGGAGAACATGGAAGCTGAATGTGAAATGGTTGTCCCCAGAAAATGCTGAGGAACTCAAAAATGGATGACATTTTGGAGAACTATTAAACTGTTCCGCGATTCCTCAGCAAAGAAGACAGTGGTTCAGTTGTAGTTTCACTGGATATAATCCAAAGACCCAATCTATTGTTTTGGGGATAGGGGATTCGAATCCCAACGTGTCAGATTTCAAAGTTGTCAAATAGGCACCCACTTCCTGTCAGATCCTTCTTGCACGCAGGCAGTCTCAGCAGCCATGCATACACAACTGTGGCAATGACAGTGAGGAAAAAAAAAAATCACCCATTCCACCCAGAATGGGCATTTGCCAAGTGGGTTAGAAGAAACATGCAATGGTTTTTAACAAAGCTCACCCTGAGCACTTCTGCAACACAGGACTCTGTGCTCAATGGATTGTTTACAGGGGGAGACACCAAGACATCAACTGCTCATGGAAAGCTATCGGTAAAAGATAACCTTTGGCCCATCAGAAACATACTGGTCTTCCACTGCAATGAAGATATTTCATGCCTTTATTTTCTTCAGCAATGTGGCCTCACTTTTAATTCAAGTGTGAAATCATGATCTGCAGTAGTGGTTTAATCTTGTAGATTGATGCTTTCCAAGGTCTTGGATTACATGCTGAAGGACACCCTGAAGTTTGGTGCAATGACTGCAAAGGCTCAATGTGAATGAGGCCACGCTGTAGGACTGGCTCACCACAGCAAAATGACTGGCTGAAAGCCAGTGTTTAAAAAAAAACTGTGGGTACTGTTATGAGAAAATATAAACAAATCAATACTATGCTATGCAATTTCTGAGTTGCACTAAAATAATAAAAACAAAATACTGTGGATGTTAGAAATCTGAAACAAATGCAGAAAATGCTGGGGAAACTCAGGAGGTCTAACAACATCTCTGGAGAGAGAAAGTAAACATTCTGAAGAATCATATCAGACTTGAAGTGTTAATTCCATTTCTCTCTCCACAGATTCTGCCAGACCTGAATTGTGCTGAAATGAATCCTTACGAAACTTACAAATAAAATGCATGCAAAGCCAAACCAGATTCTTCAGAGTGCAAGATAAGAGAGCGGGTACAGTAGCTCAGGCTTAGAAGAGTGAACGCTGTGACTGTTGGGCTGCTATAGTGCTGGGTCAAGAGAGGGGTGAGTAAGATTTGTTAATGAGGAAGGTGATTTTGAATTCTTTGAAGGAAAAAGTGTCTGCTGAATGGGACAGTTGGTGCAGCTATTTAGGGACTGGTATTTCGTACAAACATTTAGCACCTTAAAATATTTGTCGGAGTGATGGCTAATACCTGCTCCCTTCTCCACTGGCTCCAATCGATCTCCATTGGATCCTCTGATATCCCTCTTCCCCAGAGTCAGGCTGCAGCCCAGAGCCTTCCCACAACCGCCATCTTGAACTGAAAGCGAGGCCACATCGCCGAAGGAACTAAAGACATGAAAATTCAATCGCAATTGGGATCATATTGACAGGGCAGAGTGCTGTTAACCTCGACATCCTTATGGAATTCCAAAATACCATGAGAAATGAATAAATTCCAAACTCGTCAAATGGAATATTTATTAGAGCCAGGCGTAGCGACCCCGCGCGGCCGGGAGGAGGGTGCGCAGCGACATCGCGCGGCCGGGAGGAGAGGGCGCAGCGACCCCGCGCGGCCTGGAGGAGAGGGCGCAGCGACCCCGTGCGGCCGGGAGAAGTGGATGCAGTACCGCGCGCGGCCGGGAGGAGAGGGCGCAACGACCCCGCGCGGCCGGGAGGAGCGGGCGCAGCGACCCCGCGCGGTCGGGAGAAGTGGATGCAGTACTCCGCGCGGCCGGGAGGAGAGGGCGCAGCGACCCCGCGCGGCCGGGAGGAGAGGGCGCAGGAGTCGGAGGTGGGTAGATCGGTTGCCTCCATGCAGGTTCCGAGGGCGGGCAGGCGGACAGCGTGTGTAAATGAAGTGTCGGCCGGTGCGCTTCCGGAGTCGGGGCGGTGAGATCTTGGCCATGTCGTGAGGTACGCTGGGGCTTGGAAAGTGCGGCGACGGGCCGGAGGTCGGGGGGGGAGTGTTGGTGGGAAACCGGGACCCCAGGGTGCTGGCGGTGATCAGAGCCGCTGTCGGCCCTCATCACCCGCCGGCGTTTGCAGGGGCACGGAGACCCCTCCCCCAGAAAGGGAGGGAGTAAAACTGTCAGGAGGGAGCAGAGATTGAGGGGAACTGGAACATCAGGCAAATAGTGAGAGAAGGAGAGAGAGCGTCCATGGACATGGGGGCAAGCTTCACCAAATAGAACAGGACAAAGTGAGGAAACTCAGGAAAGGGGAGGCCAAGAGAAACAGGGGATTTCCAACAATTTAAAAAATCCCATGAAATCAGTACAATTATGAAGAGAGAATGAGAGGGGGGAAGAAAGCTCTTGGGATTTGAAGGAGGGAGGCAAAGGTGTGGATAACCTGACTCCCTGCCACTTCATCTGAGGGAAAACGGAAGGTCATTTGTTTAGAGAGAGAGAGAGGTCCACTGCCAGTTCAATAAAATTGGGGGTTGGGAGGTGGGGTTGATGTTTCTGACCAGTCAGAGTGACACTTCCGAACCCATTCAGAAAGTAAAGGGCTGTGTGTGCGCGCGCGCGACACAGTCTCTCAGGCATGGTTCAGAGACCGAGCACTTAATGTGTATCCGTGTGGAAAAATCAACCTTGTTGGCCTTGCTTACCCCCCCCCACCAAACTGAGGAATGTTAGGTTGAAGGAACTTGAAAAAAAGCAAGTTGAGTACTGAGTGACACACTCCAAACGGGTGTGGACAGGTTGAGCAAGTGAGCATAAACTTGTCAGGTGGAATATAATGTCAGAAAATGTGAGGTTAAGCAATTTGCAGAATGAATAGAGGAGCTGAACTTATTTAAATGAAGAAAGACTGCAGAAAACTGCAGCACAGAGCTATTTGAGAGTCCTCGTGCATGATTCACAAAACAAGCATCCAAGTTCAGCAGGGACTATGGAAGGCAAATGAAATGTTAGCCTTTATTTCAAAGGGAATAGAGGAGAAAATAGGAACATCTGATTAAAACATTACAAGGCACCAGCAAGACCACAGCTGGAATACCTTGAACAGTTAAAGTTACCTTCTATGATATTTGTGAATTGTTAACAAATTTTTTGTGGTGCCGCTCATGAAATCTCATAGAACATAGAACATTACAGCGCAGTACAGGCCCTTCGGCCCTCGATGTTGCGCCGACCTGTGAAACCAATCTGAAGCCCATCTAACCTAAACTATTCCATTATCATCCATATGTTTATCCAATGACCATTTAAATGCCCTTAAAGTAGGTGAGTCTACTATTTTTGCAGGCAGGGCATTCCACGCCCTTACTACTCTCTGAGTAAAGAACCTACCTCTGACATCTGTCCTATATCTATCACCCCTCAATTTAAAGCTATGTCCCCTTGTGCTAGCCATCACCATCCGAGGACAAAGGCTCCCACTGTCCACCCTATCTAATCCTCTGATCATCTTGTATGTATCTATCAAGTCACCTCTTAACCTTCTTCTCTCTAACGAAAACAGCCTCAAGACTCTCAGCCTTTCCTCATAAGACCTTTGCTTTGTGATTTTCAGGCCATCTGTGTGCTCAAATGTTATGTTACAACTGCGACAGTACAGCCTTTGGGAAAGCAGGGCATCACGGATAACAAATTCTAGATTTCCATATTCAACTACTCATGTGCTGACCCGCAAATTGCTGTCAGTTTTAAACTCAATAATGGCAGGTGCTCAAATTATCACCAATAACACAGCAGCATAATGCATCAATAGCTGTAAAGCATTGAGTGCCATCCGGATTTGGAATTATATCCTTATTCCTTCACTGTTACTGGGTCAAAATCCAAGAACCCCCTCCCTAACATCACATGAGTGTACACTACATGAAGTGCTGGACTATCTTGACAGACCATCATGACTTTGAAAGGTTTTGCTGATTCTTCATTTTTGCTGGGTTAAAATCCTATCAGTTTCACCATAGCAGTGTTGAGAGCATTCATGTACCACACAGACTTCAACGGATCAAGCTGATGGCTCGCTACTTCATTCTTAAGTGTAATTGTGGATTGCTAATACATGTGCTCTGGCTAGATGATGGCCAAATGCCATGAAACATGTTTTAAACTTTACAGAAATGTTTTCAAAAACAAACTCTTTGATTTTGTTTTTGACTCTGTCAGTTTTATCTCAAAGAGAATATGTGCAATGTATTATTTACATCATTAGAAAAGCATAATACTGCAGATGCTGAGAACTTGAAATAAGAACCAAAATTGCTAGAAATGCTCAGGCTAGGCAGCATCTCTATTCAGTGTCTTCAACCACAATCTGTGAACTTATAGCCCAATTTAACCCTGCTGCTGACTATTAACATCAGTTTAAGGTACCTACCCTCCTTCCATAAGGAGTTATGGAGAATGTGCCAGGAACAGTGTCAAGCATACCTTTAAAAAAAACATGATGTGGAGGTGCAGCTGTTGGACTGGGGTGGACAAATCAGAAATCACACATCAACAGGTTATAGTCCAACAGGTTTATTTGAAATCACAAGCTTTCAGAGCATAGCCCCTTCATTAGGTAAAGTGAGAGAGAAGCACACAAACACAGAATTTATAAGCAGGGAGGTCAAGGGCCTCATTTAATCAGATTATAGGTCATCGCTTGTTACTTAGCTGTTGACACTTTACTCACAACGTCTGACACTTTTGATCACCTGCATAGACTTACTATTAAACACTCCACTCACACCATTTGTATGATCTTTTGATCTCTCTGCCTAGAAATTCTGTGTTTGTGTGCTTCTCTCTCACCACCTGATGAAGGGGCTTCGCTCCGAAAGCTTGTGATTTCAAATAAACCTGTTGGACTATAACCTGGTGTTATGTGGCTTCTGACTTTTTTAAAAAAAAAACCTGATGTGCTGGAGCTACAACACGGTAGATGACGCTTGCAGTAGACCAAGCAAGGCGATCCTAAAAACAATGGGTCAGATCAGTGGTCTGTGGTGCTGCCATGTCCTTCACTTGAGTGATGCTGGAGAATTAAACAATTAACTGGAAGCGGAGCCTCACAAATATCCCTGTCCTCAATTGTGGGAATGCTCAGTTCACCAGTGCAAAACACAAGTTTGAAGCCATATTCAGCCAGATATATTGCTTGAGTGCATAAAAACGGAAAGAACTGCAGATGCTGTAAATCAGGAACAAAAATAAAGTTGTTGGAAAAGCTCAGCAGGTCTGGCAGCACCTGTAAAGAAAAAAATCAGAGTTAACATTTCGGATCCGGTGACCCTTCCTGAGTTCTGAGGAAGGGTCACCGGACCCGAAACTTTAACTCTGATCTTTTTCTTCACAGATGCTGCCAGACCTGCTGAGCTTTTCCAACAACTTTGTTTTTGTTGCTTGAGTGCATGATGTATTTCAGCCTCCTGAGATCCCCAGCAACACACATGCCGATTTTATACGATGTATTTGATGTTAAGAAATGGCTGAAGGCACTGGGTGCAGCAAAATCTATACTGCAGTAGGCTGGCTGTAAAACTGAAGATTTGTCTCCCTGAACTATCTGCATCCATAGCCTGGCTGTTCCAGTAGAGCTATGACATGACATCTACCTGATAATATTTGGTGACTTTAGTAAGGGAACAAATCCAATTCAGCTAATTACTGCCTTCCCATTCTGCTGTGAGTTATCAGCAAAGTGATGTAAGATGTCGTCAACAGTGCAATGAAGTGACAAGTTTTACTCAGCAAAACTTGCGAATAGATGCTCGGTTTAGGTTCCACCAGTCTACTCGGCCATTGATTTCATTACAGCTTTTGTCCAAAATATGACCTAAGGTGCTGAATTCTAGAAGTGAGAGTCATATCCCATGTTGCCAAGGCAACATTTGACCTAATGTGCCATAAAGAAGCCCAAGCAAAACAGGACTGCGTGGAAATCGGGATATATGTCTCCAATGGTTGGAGTCATGCCTAGCACCAAGGAATATGGTCATGGTTATTGGAGGTCGATCATCTCAACATCATTGCAAGGGACCGTCAGCATAGTGCTCTAGACCCAATGATGTTCAGCTGTTTCATCATTGGTTTTCCCTCCACCATAAGATCAGGCGTTTAGCTATTTGCTGGTGATTTCCCAGCTTTTATTTGAGACACCACAGAATCTGAAGCAGTTCATAGTCAGGTTCATTAAGACTCAGACAGCATTCAGCTTGGGCTGACAAATGGCAAGTAACATTCACGTCATGCAAGTGTCAGGCAATGACCATTTCTATAAGAGCCACTAATCCTGATTCCTTCAACGCTGCTACCATGACTGAATTGTCCACCACCAACATCCTAGGAGTTAGCATTGTTCAGAAACTTGACTGGACTGCCATATAATTACTGTGGCTACAAGAGCAAACTCGAGGCTAGGAAATCCGTGGCCAGTGATCACCACCTGATTCCCCAAAGCCTGATCCCCATCTTCAACGTGCAAGTCAGGAATGTGGTAGAATATTCTCCACTTGCACAGATGACTGCTGGTCCAACTACATTGATGAAATTTGACGCCATCTATACTTCCCGCTGCCTAGGGAAAGCAACGGCATAATCAAAGATCACCTGGTCATACTCTCTTCCACCCTCTTCGGTTGGGCAGAAGATATAACAGTTTGAAGACATGTACGAACACATTCAGGAACAGTTTCTTACCCACCGTTATCAGACTTTTGAACAGACCTCTCAAATGTTAAATCTGATCTCTGTCTCTCTCTCGCTGCACCTTTTCTGCTACAGTAACACTGTATTCTGCACTCTGTTCTGCTGCCTTGTTATATTGTACAATTTGCCTGTATAGCATGCAAAACAACATTTTTCACTGTATCTTGGTACATGTGATGACAATACATCAAACTCAAGCTCTAACTGTCTGGAAAGTGGCGCTCCATCCACCACCTTTAGCATTCACTCCCTTCACCATCTACATGGTGACAGCAGTGTGTAATTATACCAATTCACCAAGGTTCCTTTGACAGCATCTTTGTATAAATTAATTCATGGCACATTTATTGGCTATCCCTAATTGCCCAGAGGGCACCTAAGAGGCAGCTACATTGCTATGGGTCAGGAGTCACACATAGGTCAGAGTAGATAAAGATAGCAGATCCTAAAGGACATTGGTGAACCAAATGAGTTTTTCCAACAAGTGACAACAATTCAATGGTCACCATTAGCCTCTTAATACCACCATCTGCCGTGGCAGGATTCAGACCTTGGTCCCGAGAACATTACCTGGGACTCTGGATTAATAGTCCAATTATGATACCATTAGGCCATTGCTCCACAGACCTTATAAAGCCATGATCTTTACCAGGTAGGACGCTGGCAACTGGTACATTGAAACACCGCCATCTGGAAGTTCTCCTTCAAGCCACAGACCATACTGACATGGGAACTATATCCCTGTTCTTTCACTATGGCTGAGTCAAAATCCTGGAACTCTCAAACAACAGTGTGAGTATTCCCACCCCCTAAAGACTGCAGCAGTTTAAGAACATAGTTCACCATCACTTTCTGAAAGATAATTAGAAATGAGCAAGAGATGCTGCTCTTGCTAGACCGACCACCTTCTACTGGAATTGGAAAATGTTGGAGTTGTAAAAGATTTTAAGCAACTTAAAAGTTCCAGGCTGGTGGGAGGATCAATGATAGGATGGAATGCAGGAGTGATTGCATGACAAAATGGATGTTGGTGTAAGCAAAAGGCATATAAAGGAGTAAAAGGTGAGTCTCAGTGAGTTGTGAGTAGTAATAAAACCAAAAACTGCTGTAAGGAAAAATGGGGACTGGGATTATTTGTGTCAGTAGATCTGGCAGCATCTGAGGAGAGAGAAATGGAGTCAATGTTTGAATCGAATATGACTATTCAGTTCTGAAGAAGAGTCATATTTGTCTTGAAGCATTAACTCTGATCTTCTCTTCATATATGTTACCAAATCTACTGAGTATTTCCAGCAATTTATTTTTATTTCAGATTTCCAGCAAATATAGTATTATTTATATTTATATCAAAGTTTATTTCTAAAATGACAGGCAAGGGTTTCCTGAAAGCTTCTCCATGGAGATACTATTCCTTTCTGTCATTTTTTTCTATGGAAAAGAAGTTGTCTTAACCCTGATAGGCAAAATCTACGTGTAAGCTTTTAACTGGCACTGAGAATGAAATTCATTCATCAGTCGACCTGCATCCTGTTTGCATTCCACATAGAAAGGACGGTTCTATCCAATTAAATGAGTATGTGTCTTTGCTGACGCGTATTTTTGTGACAGTGATCCTTTCACTTGGCTCAGATGGGTCATTGTGAAGGTTGGAAACCTGCTCCACTCCAAATGTGCTTGCTTGAAGTTTTAAAATACATTTATATATAAATAAGCAAAAGCTTTGTATTACTACGATGACCTTATGTTTGTTGTCACTGAATGCGGTTGTGTTCTAGTTTGACGAAGGTGTAATACAAGAAAGAAATCGAAAATGCTGCAAGTGTGAAATTTCCAGGACACTAGACACCAAGGAGGATTTGGAAGAAAAGTTTACGTAAGTGAGAAAAGCATTAATTGAAAGGCTAGGTTTGTAAAAGGCTTTTGAAGGTGGAGGAGGTTGTATGGGATTAAAAACAAAATCTAGAGGGTAAGAACATGCTGGTTAAAGACAGCCACTGAGTTGGATAGTGGCAATTCTGTATTTGAAATGTTGTGCTTCTTTATAAAGTTTAGATGTAAGACTTTCTAAGATAACTTCCTGAAATGTGCTTTCTTTTTCTGGCATGATTCAGTTCATGTCACAGAACATTTTGATTTAATTAACCTTGTAAGGTAAGACCACTTTAAGCCACAGTGAAACTCTGATGCTCTCTGACCCAATTCTTAGCATCACTAGAGTTGCTGTCGCAACTAACCTATTTATAACTGAAAGGTTAACTAAGAATATAAAAGGTAATATGAGAGTTAACAGAAGTTTGTAGTGAGTTTATATCAACAGATATTTTACTTATGAATGCATTAGCTTCCCATTGCAAATAATTTACTTACTCAGTTATTTCAAAAGCTTTTTTAGCCCCAAACAGTTTGATCTGGATCTCCTCCTCCAGTATACCACAGTGGCTGCTCTAATTATTTACGTAAAGTAAAAACTCAATATCTGGTTTGTAGTGTGTTCACACCAAGAGTTCATTGATGGTATGAAACCATTGCAACCGTATATTGACACTAAACCCATAGTCTGAATCTCTCTGAGTGCAGAACACAGGACTGAAATACTCCCAGAATGTCTTTGTGAGTTTACCTTATGAGGAACTGAACCTTGACACCAAGGTCCTACCAGTGTATTTTTTCCTTGCTGTTAGTTGATCTGTTACAAGACTGTGACTGTTGGCGGGAGCAGAGATGCTGCTTTACGCAACGGCAGGCCAGGTTCTTGGCTCCTGATTGTTTACTACTGCTGGGAAAGTGTGGCTGTCTTCTGAGTAGGTCAGCTGTGCTACCCCTGCAAGGTCACCCCATCATGCCCCACATGAGCAAAAAGTACTTGAGTGAAGTATCATGGAACACCTGTAGAACTGTGTCCCAGCAGCTAAGGGCTGCCTGCAGGAGAAAAGATGGGACTGAAGGTCATAAGAATAATGGTGGAATTATTGTGGATCCAACAATCCATAGAACTTTGTGTTTCCAACCTGTAGGTCAGGATTTGTGGAATTTGAATGGTTATGTTCAATCATTATATCAGATTGATAGTCTGGAGTTTTATCCCATCATTTTAGGTAATGGGGATATGTTTCTGAATTTCCTCATAAAACAGTCATTTGTAAATGTCACTTTTCTCAAGATTAGGTAATGTGAAGAGTATTATCGTGCATATTAAACACGTCGTAAGCCTGCTTCCTAATAGGATTACTTGTGCCTGCAATTGTGGAATAGCTAATGAAAGGAATGCCAAACTGCAATGCACTTCGTATTCCATTGACAGAGAGATTGTAAGTGGAGACCCAAGGACCCATGAAGCACAAAGATTGGCGAAGACCACAGCTGGTGGGGTACAAATGGGCACCAGGCAGTGCTTGGAGGTTCATTTTACACTTCGTTAGTTGGGAGATGGGCTTGATAGCTTGAACTTTGTTCTTGTTCTGATCTGAAGTCTTTACTATACAAAAAGAAGTTCCCTTGCTGAATTGAGAAATCAGATATTTGTGTTAGTTTCCCCAATAACTGTGTTTTTGTTTGTGGATGCTGGTAGGGATGGAGTTACAGCTTCACTGTAATTAGTTCTACGGTTGAACAGCCAACTGACACCCAGCATCTTGGTTAAGGAAGTGATTATTTGAGCTGCTCAGATTGGGGACATTCCAAGTTTCATCCCATTCTGTGTTTCGTCAAGAAAGATGTTTGCGGGAATGAGAGATTTTCAATCTTTCTAGGTGTTACTTATTCTCCGCTTTGAGATGAAACTACCAAAATTAAATCTATATGCCCATCAATGTGTGATTGCTATTAATTACTTTCTTAATAACTTTTCCCACTATGTCATGCTCCTTTTCTGTATCTTAAAGAGGGATGCCAGAAGAGTAAATGTTATGAAAATTCTACACTCATATGGTCAGTCACTTTTCTTTCCTGGTTCCTTGGTGAACCAGCTTTACAATGCGATTGGATTGTTTACAGGAGCAGGAAGGAGGGACTTCACATAGAATTTATGATTGTATTCTGCAATACTGTTTTAATTTACCTTTTACTCACCTTGAATCACTGAAAAGATGTAAAATTACCTCACTCTTCAAAGATAAAATGATTTCTGTGTAATTCACATTTTTTTAAAACAATGGCATTTATCATAGAATCCCTACTGTGTGGAAACAGGACCTTTCAGCCCAACAAGCCCACACGAACCCTCAGAGCATTCCACCCAGACCCATCCCCCTAGAACCCACCTAATCTACACATCCCAGAACACTATGAGCAACTTAGCATGGCCAATCCACCTAACCTGCACATCTTTTGGACTGTGGGAGGAAACCCACGCAGAAAAGGGGAGAATGTGCAAACACCACACAGACAGTCGCCCAAGGGTGGAATTGAACCTGGGTCCCTAGCGCTGTGAGGCAGCAGTGCTAACCACTGAGCCACCGTGCCACCCAAAAATGTTTCTTCACAACCAAGTGTCCAATGATGAAGAAGGGTGGCAGCTGACCTTCACTCAGTTGGTTATCCTTTATGCATGGAAATAGGCAGTGAGGTTGTTGAACTGCCACGGATGTCTCAGACAATCCTATACTTAACTCACATCCTTAAATGCTTATTAATTAGCAAGCATATTGGCATCAAGATGCCCCCATGGCCCTGTTTTTCTCCTCGCTTGCCTGAGTGCTGAAGACAGCAAAATTAAAACCGTGACTGTGATCCAAAAGCATCACTGCCCCATGTAACGCTGTATTAACTTGCTTTTATTCATACAGAACGTGAGAAGTTTGGAGGGAGAAATTTGAAGATGAGAACTTTAAATCTTTGAATGCAGGACAGTTACAATTTGGGCCTGGTGGAATTGAGAGAATACAGATACAGAGGGCCAGACATGACTATGTTGGAATAATCAAAACTGGAGGTGGGAAGCATACATGCGGCTGGTGGCATGGGGGCTGAGGCAGGCATTGTTGTAGATGTGGAAATTAGTGGTTTTGGTGATGAGAGGGATGTGGGAAAGGAAGCAAAGTTTAGAATTGAAATTATGCACTCCCAACTGAGTCATAGGGGTTGGATAAATGCTGAAACATGTCTTCATTATTTATGGATCTCAGCAGTGTGCATTGTTCCACCAAAAGCAGTGAGATCTTCTGGGAACAGGAAAACCAAAAATACATTCTGATACAGTTTCTAAACTAAGACATACTGAGACGTTGTCACCTTGCTCAGAGACAAGTTTGGTGATTTCTTGGGGGGAATAACTGTTTAAGAAGTTTGTTACATCTTTATCAGTCTTGAGGTGTCCACTTAGGATTTTAGGCCTGAGTGTATCTTTTACTAATAACCCTGCATTGTTTATCATGGTTTCCTGGATGCTGACATCAGTGCAGTAATCTACAAGTAAATTCCAATAGAATTAGTCCGTACCATTGTTTTAAACGGGAATTATACCCATGATGGTCCTGCTGTTCTCAGCATTGTTCCCTGAGAAAGGGGCAAAGTCTCTGTCTATGGCTGTGTGAAGTTGTCTTTTCAATGTACTGGCTGAGCAAGTGTGTCAATCCACTGGGCTAACGAGTTGTAACATGGGCACTTACACTTTTCCTTTGGCTATTCTGTAGTCTGAATCACAAGAGAGTAGTCCCGCAGCAGCTCTTGCACACAGATTACCAAGAGCATGTTTTTAGCTCTTGTTTTTGCTACAATAAAAGAATCTGGTTTCTTGGTTTGCAGCTCCCTCCAATGTTTGCATAGGCTAAAGTATAATGACGGTCGCATTGTCAACCTGGTCACATGTTGAGAATCTTCCACATCTCTTGCCCTGATGATTTGTCCTGAAAAAAGGTAGAAGGACAACCTTGTAGATGTTGCCATGGCTTATTGATCAATTTCCAAGAAATTTGTCACAGTTGGCAGGCAGGGTGTTGGGAGACAGTTGACAGCTTCCAAAGTATGCTGTAAATATTAGAATTTTGTAAACCATCATCTGTAAAGTGTAAAGATTCAAGCATTTTGTAAGTTGCTTTTTTTTTTACTAATTAATTGCTTGTGCCAAAGTCACTAATTGATATTTTATGATTCAACTTTCATCTTTGTTTAAAGCAATGAGAGGCAAACCAGCTTCACTTTGTCGTGTCTGGGATCAAGTGTTAAAACAAGGAGGGTGGCAAATGAAAGGGCAAAGGTTCAATTCAAGCTCTGTTTCAGCTTAATGTATGACCGAATTTGTTGCATTGTCATTTTCTGAGTTAAATTGTTTTTCTTACAGAACTTTCATAACAGGTGGAATACTTTCAAATAGATTTTATGATTCAATGATGTGTTATCAGATTTCATTGCCTTAACACAGAAACATGAAGCACTGGTTATATGTGTATTTATAAACTCCATACTTACCATAAAACAATTAGCAAAGCAATAGAATATTACACGAAAAAGCCAACAGTTTGTGGACAATATATTAGAAGAAATCATGTTTGAACAGCATAGTGCCCTATTTGAAACATATCCTGCGAATAGCGTCTCATTCTGCACAACAAAGATAAAAAAGAAACTTCAGACCAAGGACATGATGAGCAAGGAGACTGACCCTTTGGTTCAGGACTGAGTTATAAGGAGTGAAGAAGCTGAGACACTTTCACCCATGAAAGGACGGAATGCAGAGGAATTGAAGGTAATAGAGAAGTGCCGCTTCAAATTAAACCACTGATAGGAGAAAGGAGCACAGTTCGAATTAACAAAAAGACAAGGTTAAGATTAAAATGAGAAGGGCATTGGCAATTTATTATCTTATTCACCCCTTTGATTTTAAAGAAAACATTGCCTCGGTTTTTGTATCCATCTATGAGCTAATCTCTTACTGTC